GCACTATTATAATAGCTAAGTGGTGGAAACAACTCAAACGTCTGTTGACAAATGGATAAGCAAAATGCTTACACATGCAATGGAACGTTATTCTGCCTTAAAAAGGGAGGAAATTCTATCATATACTACAACACGGATGAACCTTGAAGACAGTATGCTAACTGAAATACGCCAGTCACAAGAAGATAAATGCTATATGATTCCACTTATATGGAGTATCTAAAGTGGTCAAATTTCTAGAAACTGAAAATAAAATGGCAGTTACCAGGGACTGGGGGAAGAGAAGAAAGGGGAGTTATTGTTTAACGGATGTAGAGTTCCAGATTTGCAAGACGAAAAAGCTCTAGAGATCGCCTTCCCAATGATGTGAGTCTACCTAACACTACTAACACTTAAAAATGGTTAACATGGTAAATTTTATGTTATACGTTTTTACCACAATAAAATAAATGGTATTGTTTTTCTGATACTCATCATTACCAAGCATTCAGTGAAATTAAAAATTTTATCTACATTATGAATTACATATGGATTCTAACATAGGAATTTTTTACTTTTTGAGATAACACAGGCTTTTGCTTTTCTTTAAACTCCTCCACCCTTTGCCCTTTAAAATGAGAACAAAAATGACATGGTGAGTATGTGTCGCCAGCTGAAAAAGAGTAAATCCAGTTATGTAGGAATGTTCATTCTAAATGAAAATCAATTCCATACAACTCTAGATGAGATATTTCCTCAGGAAGCACTGGAAGAAGAGTTACTAACACATTCTTCTTCTCTTCATCAAGGCATAATCTTGGCTATAACTAAAAACTAAAAAACAGCCCAATAGAAAGAAATATAATAACCTCAGTTTGAAAGACAGAATCACACTCAAATAACTGCAATTTTTAATTTCAATGAATGCTTCAATCAATGTATGATTATGAGAATAACATTTCACATTCAGAATTTAAATTGATTCTTAATTAACAATAAGTAGTTTCATGTTTGTTTTTAATTATTTCTAAGCTGTTATTTCAAACAAACAATATCACATTCTTGAAGGCAAACCTCTTACTTTTATCTCCCTACAGATTAGTCCAGTGTGTGGCATAAAATGATGCTAAACAAATGTTTTTTTTCAAATAACTGTATAAGAATACCTGATTTTTAGCAATGTATAAAACTTTATTGAAACTAAGCACTTCTGTATAATGAGCTATCAAGCATAACCAAGGTGATCAACTCTATGATTTTATGCTCACCTCTACCGGTTACCCTTTCCTGCTCCCAATCACTGACTCACTCCTAATCATCCTCAACCCTATGGCGACCATGCCAAAGCTTCTTTTTTTTTTTTGAGACAGGGTCTGGCTCTGTTGCTCAGGCTGGAGTGCAGTGCAGTGGCATGATCTCAACTCACTGCAACCTCCGCTTTACAGGTTCAAGCGATTCTTGTGCCTCAGCCTCTCACACAGCTGGAACTACAGGTGTGTGCCACCGTGCCCAGCTAATTTGTGTAGTTTCTGTAGAGACAGGGTTTCACTATGTTGCCCAGGCTAGTCTCAAATTCCTGAGCTCAAGAGATCTGCCTGCCTCGCCTCCCAAAGTGCTGGGATTACAGGCGTGCACCAACACGGCTGGCTGCTTCTTCACTCTGAAGTCTCCAGCACCTTTCTCTACTTCCTTACTTTTGTGGTGCCTTGCTCTATTTTTCTGCAAAGACTGAAACCCACGATTTTTCTCTTCTTCACTTCAACATTTCTGTTTTTACCCTGCTCTTCTCTGGACTCAATGGATACAAGTCTTCCTCTTTTTCACCCAGGTTCTCTGTCACTATTTCTACTCTAGTAGAATCAGTCTCCTCACCTGGCTCATCTTCAAGAAATTATCCTAGGAAGCACAAACCAACCCAATTTCTATTAGTTCCTTCTCCTCTCAGCCTCCAAAGTACTTCATGTGTATCATACTGAGTATTATATCCCAGCTAATTACATCTGACCTTTTGGATATGTCTTTATTGCCAAAAATGATATTTATAAGCTATTTTGGGGCAAAGACTGTCTTCTGCTTTACCACATGATAAAGGTCTGTTTACCATATGCCATTCAAATACTTTTTGATCATGGAATAAGTCTGCTGAAAAATGAACTTTTCAGCTGGGTGCAGCGGCTTATGCCTGAAATCCCAGTGCTCTGGGAGGCTGAAGTAGGGGCATCACTTAAGGTCAGGAATTCGAGACGAGCCTGGGGAACACTGTGAGACCCTGTATCTACAAAAATAAAAAATAAACAAAAAATTTTTAAAATGAACTTTTCTATGACTCCCATTGTATTCATCGTTGTACTGAATGTACCGACCCTTTCACTTGACTTTATTTAATGTATTTATTTTTCTCATTCTCTTACATAACATCTCTAATTTCTTTTCTTTCAGTTTCAACATCAGTCACTAAGGCTGGCACTTTCTATTAATAATAAAAATGGTCACCATTCCTGAATATCCAATTCCTGCCAGATACTATGCTAGATAATCTACACATATTAACTCTAATCTTCACAATGATCATGCATTTTACAGAGGAGGAAACTGAGGCTCAAAGGGATTAAGTACCTTGTCCTCCAGTCTTTCTCCCTCCAATCAATCTTCTACCCTTCAGTCACAGTGATCTTCCTACAACCAAAATTAATCATGTTATTTCCCTCACCTAAAGCTCTTTAAGGCTTCCTACTATCTTAATGTCTAGATTCCTTAACCAGGCATAAGGTAACCTTTAGGATACCTCTTTTCTTACCACTCCTGACACTGCTTTCAGTTCTTGGCCAATGTCATGCTTTCTCCTTCTGCCTCTGGACTTGGCATGGAGTGCCCTTATTCATTCATTCAACAAACGTGGCATGTGCCAACTATGTGCCTGGCATTGTACTTGCAGCTGGGCACATGGCAGTGAATGAAACAGACATAGGTCCTGCCCTCAAGGTACTTACAATCTAATGGAAAAAACAAATAATAAATACAGATTGTAATAAGTAAAATGACAGAAGCAGGATGCTGTATTCCAGAACATCTAGGGTTGGGGGGTGCAAGAGAAATCACAGTGACTGTTTTAGATAGTTTGGTCTCTTAAGGTCTCAGGTGGTGACATACTTTAAAACCTAAAGATTAAGTCAGCTATGTGAAAAGCGAGAGGGGAGGTGAGTGACAAGAGATCCTGCTAAAGACATCAGCAGAGCCCAAACCAAGGCCACGGTTAAGAGTCTGGGTTTTATTCTAACTTCTAAGGGCAATGTAATTCACTGAAGAATTTTACATAAGGAAGAGTCACTTTTTGCTGCTGAACGGAGAAGGGATTAGAGGGGTACAAAATAGAAAACAGAGACACAAGTCAGGAAGATACAGTAGTAGTTGAGGTGAGAAAATGCGGATGATTTGAAGTGGGTCTGATAGTGAAGGAGGAAAAAAGTAGACAGATTAGATGCAGAATTGACCTGACTTGCAAAGTCATCACCTGAAATTAAGAAAGAGGCAGAGAGAGGTTATAGAGTTTGGGGATTTGTCACTGGAGAAAGTCGGTAGGCTCACTAGAGAAACAGAGGATCAAAGGGATCTCAAGCCCATACTGGCTGAATATTCAAGAGTTTGGCCATTTTCACTTTATACGGTCATCAATTTGTGCAGGACTTTTTCCAGCAAAGTTCAGGCGCATAGTGCAGGTACAAAGTGGGCAAAAGGTTGACTTCATCCAGAGTAAGAGTTTTGTCAGAAAAAGGTGCAGGAAGGGACAACAGAATTTTTCAAAGGAACGACATACATTCTGGATAAGGGGGTGCAGTGGATAGAAAATGGAAAAATCAATGCAATGGAGGTATAGATGAAGGTCAAGAATTGTCTCCCTAGTAGAAAGTGGTCAGATAGTAGAAGGCTATAATTTGTTTCTTCTGCTTGGAATGGGGGTTCAGCAAACTATCTGATCCCTAAATACATCCATCCTTTTCTGCTCCTTGACTTCCTGAACCCAGCACCACTACCTGAGTTTGCCACCATCTCATCCAATCAGAAAGGCTCACCTCAGCGGATTACAGGGTCAAGAGATCGAGACCATCCTGGCCAACATGGTGAAACCCCGTCTCTACTAAAAATACAAAAATTAGCTGGGCATGGTGGCGCGCTTGTAGTCCCAGCTATTCGGGAGGCTGAGGCAGGAGAATTGCTTGAACCTGGGAGGCAGAAGTTGCAGTGAGCCAAGATCGCCCCACTGCACTCCAGCCCGGTAACAGAGCGAGACTCCGTCTCAAAAGAAAAAAAAAAAAAAAAAGGCCGACCTCAAACTATTCCCTCCTTGAAGCATTTATGTTCTCTCCACTGAGATCCCTCCTCCTGATAACAACCCTCACAGAGTGTACTACTGGTAGAATAGTTCAGGTGAACATATAGTAAGTCATTCTTTTTCCTTTCTAGGCTCCTTCGGAAAAGGTATTGTTATAAATATTCAAAAGTCTCTGGATCCCGCGACAGTATCCAGAATAGAGCGCTGCACGGTGCAATCATTCAATAAATAATAACAGGGATCTCAGGCTCATGGGTCTCCAAACCTCATCTCCACTTGCTAAACCAGGGTTCACTGAAATAGAATAATAGCGCATAACCCCTGTTCACAAGTCTCAGATAACTCCCATTAATCTCAAAGGTTGCCTTCAATTTCACAAATTTAATTTTAATCCCAACATTCAAAACACCCCTATTTAGCTAACGATGGGCAAATATAAAACAAAACAAAACAAAACAAACACCCCATTCGTGAAACAGCACTGGTAGGCTACCCTATGACGATCAAAAATCTGGATGCCACAATTCGAGAAATGCCACGCTCGCTAGAAAATACAGAATTTTCTTCATAGTCCAATGCAAGGCCAGAGAGACCTGGGACGGGACTAAGGCAAACGGCCCCACGAGGGGTGCCACGAGAGTCAACTGGCATTGGGTTTGTACTCAGGGTCTGACCTCAGCCTGGCACCTACCTTCCTCCCCTCCAGCCCCAGCTGCAAGGATCACAGGAGTGGTCGCCTCGGAGCCTGCTGCCATGGCTACCGCAAGGCGGGTTCTGCCGGAACCCAAGGCGGAGCGGAGCTGGGGTGGGGTCAGGGTAGGGACCAAGCTCCGGGACGCGAAGCTGCACCACAGGAAGGAGCCCCGGCGACTCCCGCCCGCCTCCTACGGAAACGCAGGCGCTCACGTGGAGGTCACGTGATGGATGCTGGGCGGGACCACGCAGCTTTGTTTTGATACTCCGGGTGTGGAAATACGAACACGTGGTCTGAGTTGTGGCGCTTTTTTACCTAACCCGGAGCTTAGGCTTCTTTCCTGTAGTCTTAGCTTCGTTTCTGTGTCTCCTTTTCTAGTCAGATCCTTGCTTTCCGCCTCGGCTTTTCTCCACCCTAGATGATTGGAGTTTTAGGGGAAGGTTTGACGCTTTATGGGGCTCCGGCGGTGGGATGGGCCTCTGACTTCAGCTTTCGCGAGCCGCTCTTGGCAGCCTTGAATGCGAGGCTAGCTCACGCTTCTCTTACACCTCTCTTGCCCTTCTGGTAGCAACCTGACTCCTTCTAATTTTAGTGGCCGCCGGGAAATACGAACCTTGGGCAAAGAATCCTGTGATTGCGTTCCCTGTGACTCATTTCCCGATGCAGACAAGCCAAATTGCTTGACTTAGGTTTTCAAGGACACTAATCCACAGCTGTCAGGCTTCTGGATTTGTATACCAAAATAAACAAACAGCTGTGTGAAGAGATCAACAACCACCTTTCTTCTCGTTTACCCTGTGGTCAAATCATAATCACTGGAGATGGATCTGGGTCACTTTGGGGCAAAAATCTTACAACTTTACTGGACATACCTTTATTGCTCGCCTATTAAGTGACAGACGAAATGGGTAAAAAAAAGTTTACATATATATGAATGGAATTGGCTAGTTTGCAATCTCCTCTTTGGATATGTAAGACAAAAAAAATAACAAAAATAGGCAGTACTTATTGTACATAAATGATTTTTAAGAGATAATCCCCTGGGACCAACTACGCCTAAATCTTATCCTCTGCCTATAATTTCTGAAGTTATTAACTCAACAAAAATAAGAATAAGCCCAAAATAGACGCAAGCATTAGGTTAAGTGAGCACAGGTCACTGAGTTGTTTATTACGCACAAGATTTAACTTGGACACTTCCTCCAAACACCCCAGGGTTCCTTGCCCAACCTCCTCGAATACAGCCTCTCTGCAAGTTTCCCTCTCCCCGACTCGGCCGCGCTTGTCCCTGCCTTTTCAGCGCTACCTGCCCTCAGTCTGGGACCTGGCTCCTTTCCTCTCGCCGGTGTCTCCTAGCCACCCGCGGAGGGGAGGGCGGACCCCAGCCTCCTTGCCGCCTGCCCCGCCTCCCCGCCGGCCCGGCTCGGGCCGCGCAGGCGCACGAGGCGCGGCCCGGAGGCCGAGGGCGACTACAGCAGCCTCCGCCTCCCACTGCTCCGTACGATTCTGCCCTGGGCTAGTCGGCGGTGACCTGGACTGAGCCCGGCATTGGCTTCGCGCGCGACGCGTCGCCATGGGCTCTCGTTGGAGCAGCGAAGAGGAGAGGCAGCCGCTGCTGGGGCCCGGGCTCGGGCCTGGGCTGGGGGCCTCCTGGAGAAGCCGGGAGGCGGCGGCGGCGCTGCCCGCTGCGGTCCCGGGTCCCGGGCGGGTGTACGGGCGCCGCTGGCTGGTGCTGCTGCTCTTCTCGCTGCTGGCGTTCGTTCAGGGCCTGGTCTGGAACACCTGGGGTCCCATCCAGAACTCGGCGCGCCAGGCCTACGGCTTCTCCAGCTGGGACATCGCGCTGCTCGTGCTGTGGGGGCCCATCGGCTTCCTGCCCTGCTTCGCATTCATGTGGCTCCTGGACAAGAGAGGTGAGGGGTCGGGGAGCACCAGCCCGCGCTGTCTCCTCGGGGAGCCGGCGCCTGCCCGCGCTCCAGGCCTGCCAGCCGCCTCCCTTGGCCCCGGCATAGGGGTTGTGTGAGGTGATGGAGTGTTGCTAGCATTCCATTTCTGATTTAGGAACCCTCCGTCCCCAAAGCGACAAATGTGGGAAGGCTACCTTGCAAATGTTTATGTTTTTATCAGGCCGTTTATGCAACACCAGGGATTTAAGCGATCTCTAAATGTTCAAGTTTTTACATATTGTGAACATCAGAGCATGCCCGTGCACGTGCAGTGTGTTTTACACCTGACAAAAATGACTGATGCTTTGACTTCAAAGGGATTTGGGGATGTTGAGGGTGAAAAGGTCGGAAAATAGATTGATGGTGCCCAGATGTAAGGAAATAATGAGTTGGTTTTGTGTAATAAATGACTTCAGCCCAGGAAGAGCTATTGGGAAACTCAGATCTGACACTTTGGTTTCTGGAAGGTGGTACTCGGCAGCTTTAAAATGTGTGTATGTGGCTTTCTCAGTTGAGAGTTGCGACTTTCAATTAAAGCTTGCAGATGAGTGAAGATGCTTTCTTAGAATGGTACCCTGGACATCTCTCTTTACCACTTGTCAGTGTGATTCTCTGAGGAGAAAAAAAAAAAAAAAAAAAAGCCATAGGACTGAGAATCAAGGCATACGTACCACATAAGTATGGATAAATGATTAGTAGTGACAGTCTACCCTCAAGAGGCTGTTGTGCAAGATTTTATATTTATTAATTGAATAATGCTTGGGAGCTACTTTGTACAGTTTCTGTTCAACGTTTTATAAGTTTTGTTGCAATGAGTTCTTTAGTCAGTTTTAGAAGGTTGTCTTAGTTCACTGGAGCTGCTATAACAAAATACCATAAACAGGGTAGTTCTTAAACACAGAAATTTATTTCTCACAGTTCTGGAGGCTGGGAAGTCCAAGATGAAGGCTCAGGCAAAATTGGTGTCTGGTGAGGGCCTGCTTCCTACACAGTGGTCTTTTCATTATAACATAAGATGGAAGAACGGGTTGGGGATCCCTCTGAGGTCTGTTTCATACAGGCAGTAATCCTATTCACTTGGATTCCACCCTCATAACCTAATCACCTTCCAAAGTCTGCACCTTCTTATTCCATCATTTTGGGGGTTAAGATTTCAAAATGTGAATTTGAGGCCAGGCACCGTGGCTCAAGTAATCCCAGCACGTTGGGAGGCTGGGGTGGGAGGATTGCTTGAGCCCAGGAGGTCGAAGCTGGAGTAAGCTGTGATGGCACCACTGCACTCTGCCCTGGGTAACAGGGCAAGACTCGTCTCAGAAAAATAAATGAATAAACAAAATATGAATTTGAGGGGAACACATTCAAACCTCAGCAAAAGTCAAGTGTAGGTAGGTATAGAATTGCAATTGTCTGGCATGTAGTTAGCACTCAAAATTAGTTGGTTATTAAGAGAGTAATAATGGCAGGGTCATGTTAGTAGCTGTGCTTCCTTCTCTCCTCCTTCACTGGAATTACTTCATTGGAATCCATGTGAAATAGACTAAGGAATAGTTGATTGTAAATTCCTTAATGATCAACAATGTAATGTAGCTGCTAAAAAAGAAAGGACAGTTTTAGGCATAGAAGCATGGTGTCCAAAACAAGAAGCGAAATAGTTTGATAGGCTCTACATTAGTGTTTAGTTCTGAGCTTGATTCTGAGAAGGCCATTTGACAAACTGCAGAACTTTGAAGGTTCTGCCACAAGAATGATAAAGGGTATAAAAATCATCATGTGTAAAGTGAAGGGAACTTGGGTATATCACACTTCAAAAAGAAACTTGAGGCAAAATATAGACTGTGAAGATCAAGTAAAAGAGGAATTAGACTTATGTGTAGTTCTAGAAGGAAGAACTAGACTGAGTCAAGTTACAAAGGAATGTAACTCAAAGCAATACAAGGAAGGACCTTCTAACAAAGATATCCAGCCCTGAATGGGTGTGTCTCAACAGCTGTAGAACTTCCAGCTACAGCAAATACTTTTGCAGAAGATGTGTACTAGATACCGAGGAAGGGCTTCTCCTACCAAATGGAGATTTTCTTTGGGTTTTTGTTGTTTGCTTTTAAACTAAATATTGATTTTCTTTGGGTTTCTGCTGGGCTCAGTGGCTCACGTTTGTAATCTCAGCACTTTGGGAGGCTGAGGTGGGTGGGTCACTTGAGCCCAGGAGTTAGGGACCAGCCTGGGCAACATGATGAAACTCCAACTCTACAAAAAATACAAAAATTAGCCGGACATGTTGACATGCGCCTGTAGTCTTAGCTACTGGGGAGGCTGAGGCTGGAGGATCAATTGAGCCCAGGAAGTAGAGGCTGCAGTGAGTCATGATCGCTGCATTGCACTCCAGCCTGGGTGACAGAATGAGACCCTGTCTCAAAACAAACAAACAAACAAACCCAAAGAAGTACTTTACCTCTCATCAATGTTACAATAATATTTTTTAAAAAAGAAAAAAGATTTTGTTTCCGCTGATGTATTTTTCTTCTGTTCCAGGATTCAGTCTGGGGTCCTCTGTTGCATTTAGTTGTTATTTCTCTTTAGTTTCCTCCAATCTGTGATAATTCCTTGGTCATTCCCTTAACAAGTTTGGCTAAATTCAGGGGAAAATGCTGAGCTGTAGTTTCTTTTTATTTTTATCAGGAGCATTTTTCAGTATTATTCCCCAAATTTAGCCAACCTTGTTTTTTATGGTAGAAAAATGTTAATTTGCACCCTTCTTATTATAATTGTACCTACTATCCATCCGTGGCAGGATAAATTAGAAACTACCTGTTCACTTTATCAAATAAGGTACTTCAGTTCTTCAGTAGTTCTTGAGACTATATGGTGAATTCAATTTTATATTTTCCTTTGATTGCAGCAATAAAAAATATATTTTAAAATTCTCTTTATTAGGAAGTAGTTTTCATTTTTAGTAGAAGAAAGCAAATACACTTTTATATGTTGGCTTTCCTGCTACAGGTGTTCCACTACACACGTAGAAAGAAAGTTCTTTCTTGCTTCTGGCATCCTTGGGTACTAAAATGTCTTCTTTTTTTTTTTTTTTTTTGAGACAGAGTCTCACTTGGTCACTCAGGCTGGAGTACAGTGGTGTGATCTTGGCTCCCTGCAACTTCAGCCTCCCTTGGCTCAGGTGATTCTCCCGTCTCAGCCTCTGAGTAGCGGAGACTACAGGCATGCACCACCAAGCCCGGCTAGTTTTTTGTATTTTTTGCAGAGACGGG